TTAATGCTACCTCATTGCTTCTCTTTTCCAGCTTGTCTTCTGAATTTTTTAAAGGGGAAACCCTATAGTAAAGGCTCCTTAATTGTTAAATTGTTAAAGTTCAGAGCTAAGGGAAATCCTAACTGAAAAGTCATAAACTTAATCATTACCAAAGGTCCCATTTCTGAGCAAGAATGAAAGGTTGTTTGAGGCTCGTACTTTTAATGCTACCTCATTGCTTCTCTTTTCCAGCTTGTCTTCTGAATTTTTTAAAGGGGAAACCCTATAGTAAAGGCTCCTTAATTGTTAAATTGTTAAAGTTCAGAGCTAAGGGAAATCCTAACTGAAAAGTCATAAACTTAATCATTACCAAAGGTCCCATTTCTGAGCAAGAATGAAAGGTTGTTTGAGGCTCGTACTTGGCATAAGGGTATAAGGCTTTAATGCTCATGCAATCTGTAGACCATATGGAAGGACCAGGTTGGTCCTCCTACAAGTAGATTAGCTCACAAAAATGCAGAGCAATTGGTGTTGGCAAAACCATGCACTTGCCAAAGTTTTTGAGTCATTAGCCTCACTGGAGCATGCCTGTTGCAAATTAATAATGGTCTTTTAAAGGCAGAAGAAATGCATGTTGTATTTTTGTGGTTTCAAATATTTGGGTTACCCTTGGCAGATCTTTACTGCTATAAATTTACTGAAAAAGTATTAAGATGTATAGGAAAAGTGGGAACCTGCAAATTGTTATATTTTTGTACAGTTTGTTTGGTTCCATTATTGTCTTTACTTTTTAGGCTCCCAGGTATGATGTCCGTGCTTGTTTCCCTCAATCTGCTTGTTATAAGAGGCATTTCTGTCACTTTAAGATGCTTCATTTTCTTTTTAAAATAATTATATATTAACCATTGGTAATCATACCTTTATTTACTGACTTGTTAGCTATAAGAGAAGATTACCCTCCTCCCTACTTGACTGATCCACAAGTTTTAAATTGCGCTAAGAAGAATTTTCTTTTCTTTTTCTTGCAGATGCTGAATGATAACCTGGATACAGATGATGAGCATGAACAAGGAGGAGATAAAGAAAGCTATCTCTGTGCAGTGTGTTTGGATGTTTATTTCAATCCATATATGTGCTATCCATGCCACCACATCTTTTGTGAACCTTGCCTCAGGATGCTTGCCAAAGACAGCCCAACCAATACTCCATGTCCACTGTGCCGTACTATAATTGCCAGAGTCTTTTTCCAAAAAGGTATAAAAATGATTTTTTTTAAATATAAAGATACTCATAACTCTTCCTTTCCTCATTTTTGGTCTGAATAAATATACAGCTAAAAATATAGCAAGAGCATGTCCGCAGTATACAGGTAGTTAAATTCTGTTGTCTTGTTTACATAACAAATAATAATATACATTATGGTAAACCCAGAATAAAACTGTTCAGAGCAGAGTTTGGCCCAGTGACATACCTCATTAATGACTCCATAGTTAAGATTGCATTGAGATTTGTTTGCATTTGAAATATGATTAAAGTCCCTCTATTTCAGATTTTAGTGGTTTCATTTAGTTTCCAGTTTTGGTGCAATAACCGTTCCTGTGCATTCCTTCTTAAAAATGTATTAGCTATTGTAGAGGGGACATTTTAAAAATGTTTCCTGTTTTAAATTTACCCTGGTCATCTCTTGCTTCTTTAGCTCAGTGTAGCTAAACACCACCAAACTTTATACTTTTGTGCATTATCAGAATATGTCCCTAAAAGGCCACTTTTCAAATTTTATACTGAATCGCAAAAATAATCATTTCTTTAGTCATCTTAAACTAATTTCATCATAAGCTAAAGTAAAACCTTACAGAACTGTCAAGGTTTACCATCTAATTCTGTTCTTAGACACAGATCCTGAAAGGTGCTTAACTTTCATTTTGCATAGAAATGCCTTGGAAGATCTGGGCCTTAGACACAGCCCAGCCTACCTCCCAGACACCTGAACTTGGATCTTTTGACTCTAGATGAGACAGGATGAATAGTAGTTGTTCTTCAAGGGGAACAGGGAAGACAAAGGGAGATAGTACTATGTGAAATATATAGTACTAGAAATAGAAAAATAGAAAAGAGGACACTGAGGGGGGATATGATAGAGGTATATAAAATCATGAGTGGTGTGGAGAGGGAGGATAAAGAAAAGTTATTTATTAGTTCCCATAATAGAAGAACTAGAGGACACCAAATTAAATTAATGGATAGCAGGTTTAAAACTAATAAAAGAAAGTTCTTCTTCACACAGTGTGTAGTCAACCTATGGAACTCCTTGCCAGAGGAGGCTGTGAAGGCTAGGACTATAACAGAGTTTAAAGAGAAGCTAGATAATTTCCTGGAGGTTAGGTCCATAAAAGGCTATTAGCTTGGGGATAGAATTGGTGTCCCTGGCCTCTGTTTGTCAGAGGCTGGAGAGGGATGGCAGGAGACAAATTGCTTGATCATTGTCTTCGGTCCACCCTCTCTGGGGCACCTGGTGCTGGCCACTGTTGGCAGATAGGATACTGGGCTAGATGGACCTTTGGTCTGACCCAGTACGTCCGTTCTTATGTTCTTAAATGAGTGAGGTCTTTGGGGGAAAGTGGGACAGAATTGTAAGTTTGGATATTGAAAAAAAGCACGCTCAAACACTAGGTAAAATTCACTTGTGATACCATTTAAACTCTGCATAGAAGATGCACAGATCAATGTGACCAGAGAGATCATACAGGCATGGATGTGTGTTTCTTGCATGGTGCAGAAAAGGTCTCTGCACCAACCCACAGTGGTTTGTAGGGGGGAGTGTAATAGCAAAGGTTCAAGTTTTATGTAGAATCAGTACCTCCAACACCCTATGAATCTGGTGTATAAAGGCTGCAGTCCCTCCACACTCAACACCCTTTAACTTTATAAAGATGGATTGGATTTCATCCACAGTACATAAGAGCTGTTAGATGGCACAAGAAGTTATCTGTGTGGAGAGGAGAAATTATTCCCCAAAGTATGCTATAATAAAGTATTGTGGAGATAACCTGAATATATACTAAAGTGTATTTGCAAAAATATTAAAACTTTTTAAGGTACAATATGTGTGTATGTTTTTAAATAAAACAATTTGCAACATTTTATTTTTGTAATTGTGACCTTATTCTAGTTTTTGATTTTCTAAAAGTAAAAAGTTTGACTTAATGTGGCCGTGCTGTAAATACAACCTCAAGAGCAGGAAGGCACAAAAAGCTTATGAGATGTCATTAGTAAGAATAAATTTGTTGGATGCATTTTGTAGGCAGTATAATTTATATACTTTTATAATGTGATATCACTTACCTGCTATTTGAAAAGAGAAAACCTAGTTTGCCTTGTTATATTATAAAACTCCTGTTATAGTTGCCAGTTCATTATATGTTGAGAGTTAAATCAGTCAATAAATATTAATGTTACCATATCCATAAGGGAATTAATAAATCAATATATAGAGAGAAATGAGTGGTGCCAGACTAATCTGGAGGATACATATAGGTTCTCTTGAGAGATTCCTTATGACTTTTAAAAGCTATGTTAAAAGTGATTGCTGCTATAAATCTATGCAGGCTACTGAAGAATATGTCATTCTTTATATTTTACACTAATTCTACTGACTGGAAACCTGATTTCTCCTATTAAGGTATTATGTATTCTGAAAAATGCTTTCTGCAAGTGTCTTGTAGCATAATCTCATTTTGTTTTTTAAAAGCCCTCTTCAGAAACAGCTATGAGGTGCTCAGAAATTCACTTTTTTTTTCCTGTGCAGCTTTAATGCTAACCACTACTATCCCAGAAAGTTGCATGTCACAAGGTAAAAGAGTTGTTTGTAGGTAAATGTTCAAATCCATCTTGCTTCATCACTTAGTGTTCCATATCTTAGCACCTAAATAAAAGTGATTTTCAGAGATGAAGAGAACCTACAGCTGGAGTCAGTTGGAACTTTTGGTGTTACTCTCCTCTGAAAATCAGGCAACATTTATAGATCCCTAAATATGGGTTTATATGCCTAATTTTAAGCAAGAAAGTTGAAAAGTTTTGGCCAATATGTATTGTCTATTGGGAGAGGGAATAAAACATACTGGGAACATCTACACTTCAACACTATTTCAAAATAACTGTCGCTATTCCGAAATAACGTAGTCCACATCTACACAGCAGGCAGTTATTTCTAAATAGTGTCAAAATGCTGTCAAGATGCAGAACTTCTTACTCCAACTCCTGTAACCCTCATTGTACGAGGAATAAGGGAAGTCGGAGGAAGAGTGCTCTATTTCTAAATAAGTGCTGTGTAAGTGCTCCTTATTTCAAAGTAAGCTACAATATTTCAAAATAAGATATGCAATCGACATAGCTCAATTTGTGTAGCTTATTTCGAGCTAAGCCCTGCAGTGTAGATTCACCCTGTGTGTACATCAGAGATTATTCCCTCATAGTCCTAATAGTATCTTATCAAAATGTATTCAGTTAGGTTGTAAGGCTTTCACATACATTGAAAATTACTGGCGAAGAAGTATGTGGGTTGTTCATATTATAAATTATCAGTGAATTATTTAGGGTCAAATCTTGCCCCTTCCTCCAGGAGTGGGCAATGAGCCAAAGCCGGTTCACCATGGTTATCCCTTGACAGGCCACTGGCACTCTCATTACCTGCTCCTCAGCAGGTATGGCCACTTGACACTCCTGTTGGCCACAGATCGCCGTTCCCAGGCAATAGGAGCTGAGGGAAGCAACATGGACCAGGACACTGCTTGCCACAGCTCCCATTGGCCAGGAATTGCGATCTGTGGCCAACAGGAGGGTCAAGCAGCCATACCTGTGGAGGCGAGGTAAATAAAATGCTGGCAGTCCACCAGCCAGTTATTGCCCTCCGCTGATCTAGACAGTTTTTCAATCCCCATTCCTGTTTACTAGTCTTTGATAACCAGTATAGTCTCTCTGTATTTAAAAGACATACCAGAATGTAATCTGAGTAATGGAATCAGATGTGTAGACTATATGTTCATGAAAAAGCTTTTGTATTTACTAAAGTTTACCAAGATTATCACTGTACATGCTGTACATTAGCGCTAATTGCATATGTTTGTACATTGGCTCATAACCACTTTGTAATAGGGATTGAGTAAGTGTGTGATGTGTGGTGCCTAAGACACTTATAGCTTGTATGCATCTATTTTTAAAGTGTTTGCGTGCTTAATTATAAAAGTGGAATATTGTAATTCTGCAAAAAAAAAAATGTCTGGGTCCTAATTTCATGTACGTAGAGGAAGCTTGACGATAAGGAGTTTGAAGAATAAATTTAAGGATTATGCCTGCTATATTTGCAAAATGTCATTTTAGTCCAATCTTTATCAACTTGAAAAGATCTAAAGACGAAGTAATTAGAGATAGGCTATACAATAAGGCATTTTTATGTTTGTACTATGCATTTTTTCAAATACTTTTCTAAATGTATTCATTTTATAATTATATCTTCCTTTCTATTAATTATAGAACTGAACGACTCCACAAAATCTTTCTTCCCAACAGAATATTTAAAATTAAAAGAAATCTTTCAAAAATCAAGTTCTGCAAAATGGCCCCTGCCCAGCTGCAAGAAACCATTCAGAGTCTATGAAGGTAAGAAAATCTTTAAAAAAAAAAAATACTGTTTGGACAATGGAACACTTTAGACATGCGAGCCTAGATTTCAAGCATGGTCATGTGCAATTACTACCAAATTTTCATGTGCAAATGTTTAGTTATAAATCTAGTAGTCTGGTATGCACAACAATTGTATCTACAATTGTACACACATTTTGGAAAATCTTTTGTAAACATAGAGAGGTATTTGGGTTGTTTTTCTCTTTTTGAAAAATTTCTGTTCCAGATTCATTAAAAGAAACCACAGAATCACTAAAATGCAAGTTTGGAAATCTATTAAATAGGGCCCAATACTGCTGGCTTTCTGTATATGAAACAGAACAAGAATTGTTTAATCTTTGTGTCTTTTGTTATTTTTTCACTTTGTAATGCCGTATCAGTTGTACATAGTAAACAATCACCCTCTTGACATTAATTTAACACCAATACGTTGCTTGTTAATGAAAAACTATTGTACTAGAGGATTAAAATGTCTGATTCTCCGTCTTCACTGTATCCCTATATTTCAGTCCAGGGGCACCATCTACATTTGCTCTTATAGCTGGTGGTGTGATATAGCACCAGGCAATCATAATATTGTTTTTCTGAGAGTATTTCTCCAGAATACTGAGTCTTACAATCTAATATTATTCCAAATATTTGTCTTATTTTTAAGACCAAGGCTCTTGGATTCTAAAAACATGTCAAAATATGTTAGCCATTTTTAATGTTCTTGGTGAGTCTATTCAGTCTTGTTTGCAGATCAAATAAGGTAAATTCTAGGTTAGTATTTATAAAACTGGGCTAGCCAAAGTCATCATTTTGACTCTGAAAACTACAAGCAATTCTCCTGGAGCATTACTTGTAGTTTTCAGTGTCAATATTGTGCACATAGACTTGTGCAGTTTAATGGCTTGGCAGTACTTTTTGGTATTGCTCACATGCCCCTGACAGCAACCAAGCCCCTGACAGCAACCAAGAAATAGCAAGCACGTGACTTTCTTTCCTTTTTCTCTTTCAGCTATTTGTATTTTGGCATTATGTTTATGCTGAGTTCATCATGTTACTGTTATAACACATTGTAGAAAGAGCAAATATAAGCATATATATGTGGTAATTATTGTTATTTTACTTAAGTGCCAATTACATGTTCAGGTCAGACAGAACATAAGGCAATATCAGTGCTCATGGAGGACTATAGTCTAGGGTGCCAGTGGGCAAGACACTGGGCAAGCAGGAAGTTGGGCTCTTTTGGCTCCTGTCAGAACTGCTGTTTGCAAGATCAAGCTGTAAAAGGCAATGCTCAAACAAGCAGCACAAAACTCTGGAGAATGGTGGTTGCTTAGATTATATTTTTGTTACTTGGGGCATAACAGCATAATAGTTGAAACGGGTCAGCATTTGTCCACTTTGTGGACAAAATTGATTTCAAGGAAGAATTTGAATTAGAAGAATATGAGTTTCTGGGGTAGGATTTCAGACAGGCGGTGAAATTAGAGGATGCACAAAGAGGAGGAGAGAAGGAAACAAAAGATGCAGTGAGATTTAGTAGTACTGCTGGATGTGATTAAAAGATAGCAGTGAGGTAGTCAGGGACAGGAATGTCCAGAACTTTGAAGGTGACTGTTCCTTTCTTTTATGGTATAGTACTTTCCTACATTGCTTAAGTACAAGACCACGTTTTGTGGCTTTGCAGGAAATGTATAGATAACTGACAGTATTACGTACCCAGCAGCTGTGGTAGTATTGCAGAGCTGAATGTTGTCTTCTAATTTAATCAAAACAGGCTTCCCACAGGGCAGAAGCACCCCCAAAATATGTTGTTCTGATTTAAAACGGTGGAAGTCAGAATAAATGAACCTTGAAGAATAAATGAACCTTCCCATCAGAGAATGCTAGATCTGATGAGACTGTGAGTCTACAATGATTTTGGCTGAATGTCAGTAAAAGAGGCTTTAGACCACTGAACAGACTTTAGATTGCATAGGAAGATTTATTCCTTGAGTGCCTGCTTATGTCCGTTCTATATTAGGAGTGTGTGGTCACCACATGCACTTGTGCCGGAAATCTTTCTGTATGGAGCAGCTCTGGTGACCCCTGGGCTGGTGTCCTCGTGGTCCAGTAAAAGGAGTGCTCCACCTTCAGTTCCTTCTTGCCAGTAGTGATGGTGTACAGAACATCTGCTGCTTTAGCGTTGCTTAGGCTTCATTCAAAGAGACTTTGTGAAGTTGCTGTAAATAGTTTTAGTGTTGTAATTAAAGTGTGTTAGTCCCACCTGGGACTTAGCTGGGGGACAGGGCATGCCGCAGGCCCCAAGCTTTAAACCAGGGGTTGGGAACCTTTTTTGGGTTGGGGCCATTGATCCACAGAAAAATCAGTCGGGGCCACACCAAAAAACACCTAACAGATGTGGCCCCTAACTGAGAAGCAGGACAAAAAGACATTCCCTTCACTCCTCTAAATCTCCAGCCCCACAGGAAGATGGCAGGGGAGCCGAGGTTAGATTAATTAAGATGGCAGGGCTCCAGGGCTAGATTAATTCTTTTGGGAGCCCAAGACTAGTAGATTTTGTGGGGGTCAGTGTATGGGAATGGGTTGCCAGGGAGCAAGCTGGGAATTCATGTAGAAAACAGAATTTTATAAAAGCGACGAGGAGTCTTATGTCTTATGTAATGTGCTTAACAGGTAGCGTGAGAATAAATGTGAAATAACTGTAACTTATCCGGCCACCATTCTCTGGTTAGCAAGGAGGAACAGTCTTCTAGATCATTGGTAAAGAAACATCAAGCAGACCGCATTTGTCCATATCTGATGTCAAACAGAAAGGCTACGTCTACACTGGCAAGTTTTTCCGCAAAATCATCTGATTTTGCGGAAAAACTTGCCAGCTGTCTACACTGACCACTTGAATTTCCAGAAAAGCACTGACGATCTCATGTAAGATCGTCAGTGCTTTTCCGGAAATACTATGCTGCTCCCGTTTGGGCAAAAGTCTTTTTCCAAAAGACTTTTGTGCAAAAGGGCCAGTGTAAACAGCACAGTAGTGTTTTCCGCAAAAAAGCCCCGATCGCCATTTTCGCGATCGGGGCTTTTTTGCGGAAAACACTACTGTGCTGTTTACACTGGCCCTTTTGCACAAAAGTCTTTTGGAAAAAGACTTTTGCCCAAACGGGAGCAGCATAGTATTTCCGGAAAAGCACTGACGATCTTACATGAGATCGTCAGTGCTTTTCTGGAAATTCAAGTGGTCAGTGTAGACAGCTGGCAAGTTTTTCCGCAAAATCAGATGATTTTGCGGAAAAACTTGCCAGTCTAGACACAGCCAAAGAGATCAGAAGATCCTTGTGATTCAGCATAATAACACTGATGCTCTTAGGAGTAATTAGAATACAGATGTGTTAAAAAGAAAATATGGTGAATGATTAAATGTTTGTACTATCAGAAGCTTTGCATTGGAAGTAGATTGATACCTTACTAAGGCAATTTCCCATGTGAAACAATTGTGTAGTTCTTGGGGAGGAGGAGTGAATGAGTGTGGAATGTGAATGCTTGGAAAGACAACAACCTGAAGGCTCAGCAGTTTCAGAGTCCAGATGGTCAAAGAAGCTAGAAAACGCGGGGGTACCAAGGTACCATCAATTAGGCCCAATATAAGGCAGACCAGTGAAGGACATATAGGCAGCCTTGGAGTTAGGAGCAAGCGCCCCTTTACAGAAAAACACTGGGAAGGAGGCACTAACATATTGATGTCAGAACAAAGAAGAACAACTTCTAGATAAACAGATATTAAACAGAACTGATGACTGATTAAGATCTGACAAAGCAAAATATATGTACCTGAATGGGAGAAAAGTCCTATAAAAGATAGGATGTCTTGTATGAATCCCTGGGTCTTGTCAAGGTCAGAGTGTCAGTTCGGACTGAGAGAAGCCCCCCGCTTTCCCCCTCATATTTAACTCACCTGGCCAGTGAGTTAAAGTGAGCAGCAACAAGTGTGTGTGTGTGTGTGTGTGTGTATGTGTGTATTGTGGTATTTTGCCTTAGCCCCCTGAAAGATCCTGTGATATTATTTCAAGTATCACATACGACTGTGGGGTCTGGGTAGGAGGTAGGGTGCAGGAGCAGACTGGGGGTAGGAGTTCTGCTTGGGAGGAGGCAAGGGATTGGGGCACCTACTTAGTGCAATTCCCAGGGCAGGGGGTCACAGCTGTCTTTTTGTGGCTCTGCACACTGCAGGGGAGTGTTCCCTGTAGGCATCACTCCCTGCCGCTCCCATTGGCTGGGATTCCCCAGGGATGGGGAGCAAGTGACTGCAGGAAACATTTCCTTGTAGCCTGCAGAGCCACTTCCTCCTCTCCCCACCCCAAGCAGAGCCTGCAGGCCAGATCCAGCTCATGGCTTGCCTTGATCAGTCTTGGGGCTCCCCACACTAGCCATAAAAGGGTATGTCTACACTACCACCCTAGTTCGAACTAGGGTGGTTAATGTAGGCAACCGAAGTTGCAAATGAAGCCCGGGATTTGAATTTCCCGGGCTTCATTTGTATCTTGCTGGGCGCCGCCATTTTTAAATGTCCGCTAGTTCGGACTCCGTGCCCGCGGCTGTACGCGGCACGAACTTGGTAGCTCGGATTAGGCTTCCTATTCCGAACTGCTGTTACTCCTCGTATTTCCAATCAGCCCTGAATTCCTTGCTGGTTGAGCCAGTCAGCCAATGGGAATGGTAGGGGCAACCCGAAACTATCCTCAGAAATAAAGATTCCAAGAGGCTGGACTTATTCGGATGTAAAATTGATTCATCATTTAACCACAAAGCACCATACTCTCCTGGGACAGTATGACTTTAATACGTAGAAGACGGTTGCCAAGTTAGAGAATGCCCAGTCTGAGGGCTCTTATAAGGAATTCTGGGCAATCCTGGATGAGGGCACAGCTACTGTAAAAGCGGCTCTCTAGGCAGCATCTGATACTGCGGCTCTATAGCTCGCACCATAGCAT